TTTTTTTAAAAAATGATTTTTAAAGTTTTTTACTATACACATATAGTTAAAAACAATGACACCCCCTGGGGCAGGGCCAGTTTTTTGACCCCCAAACTTTGTAGATATTTACTTAAAGATGTTTCATGCTTAATATCTAAACTCTAGCTATTTGGGTTTTTTCAAAGAAGATTTTTAAGTTTTTGCTATACACCTATAAGGAAAATCAATGACCCCCCCCCCACCCGGGCGGGGCCAGTTTTGACCCCAAGGCTTTTATTTGAACATACTTGGTAGACACCCATTAGAACATATTTCATACTAAATATCTTAGCTCTAGCTCTTTGAGTTCTTTAAAAGAAGAATTTTTAAGTTTTTACTATATGCATATAGGGAAAATCATAATGTGTTAAAAAAAATAGAATAATGATTGTTTATTTCCCATTTTTTAAATGACTTGGCAATTAAAGTAATACAGTTATTTCTAATTAAAACATAGCAAATCCTATCAAATTTCTAAGCATGTCACTTAAGATAATAACTGTAATTCTTACACTTTCTTGTTAAAGGACATTCTTCCTTCTGTCCTGAGGCACACCAAACAATCCACAATCATGTCATTCTTGTCCAGTCGCATCATGTTGCGGAACAACTTTTCTGATACTGCTATGGACACTGCTACTTTTTCTGCTTCACCCCAGACATCTTCAGGCAGCTGTGCCATTTGCAAATGATGACTGTATGAGGCTTGGAGCCGTCTGATGTCCTAAAAAAATAAGTCATACTATGTTAAAAAAAAAGGAATTATTATCTTTAAGAAAATAGATTGCTGCGAGTCAGATGTGTCGCCTTGTCAACAGTATAGCTGTCAGAGTTTTCCAAGTCTGCCATTTTGAAGAGCATTTGATTAAGAAAAAAAATAGTCATTTATTTCTTTTTAGACACAATACCTGTGAACGTACTTTTAGGAAACACAGTGCTTCTCGTTTTCTTTCCATGATTAAGAGTAAACAAGATTTTCGATGTTTCCTTCCTTTTATATCTTAAAGATCTTCTATTATATTTTAAGGGTGACTTTTTAAGTTTTACTAATGAAAGATATAGATTTCTTTTCAATTCAATCAAGCGTACTTTGTAGTTTTCAATGGATTATGCTTGCAAACATGTGTGATTATGTTAAAAACCGATTATAAATGATCATAATTATTTTACTCGAGCGAAATTATTAAAGAAAAGAAATATTAGAATAAAAGGAATAACCATTTTACCTTGATGACAAGATTTTCTCAAGCTATAAATATCCTAAATAGAAAACTATTATGTACTGCTACACAAATTCATTTTTATAAATGTATTGAAGTACTGTAACAACTAATTAACTGCCAATGCAAACAATGGTTGAATAGTAACAGATAGCCAATATTTTGGAGTTTGTTATAAAAGAGTAATTTTCGGTACTTTTAACTCAATTGGGACTAAGAAATGAGTTCCTTTAGCGATTATTCCTTATAACCATGTTCGCTATAACCATATATTTTTATATTAAATAAAGAAGGGCAATATTCGGGCCAAAATAAATTTTTCCTTCTAACCGGAAGTTCGCTATAAATGGTTTGCTATAAGTGAAGTTTACTGTAATGGATTTTATTATTTTTATTGTTGCATAAAATTAATGCCCAAATAAAGATAACTTCAAGATCAAAATGCAATCCAAAACAGGAATCATTCAACTAAAGTTTCTGTTTATTTCTAGACACTTTATATAAAAAAAAACTCTAACAAATTAAAACATTTTAAAAAATCATGGAAAGACTTTATTATGGACAAAGAGCTATAATTTAATTGCAAATGAGACATAAACACACACTGACAAGTGTCTTCACACCTGCATTAAGATAAATCAAGGGTCAGACCATTAAGTGGTAACATGTCACTTGTTGGGAGTATATCTTAGACCAAAATAAATACACCGAAAGTTGACACTTAAATTGCTGTCCGGTTTTCAGAGGAAATTTTATTCATATTTTGTATTAGTAGCCAAAGAAAATCGTCCTGTTTTTGGAGGTTCCGGTATTTTCAATGAACTTATAAGGAGAAGATAGTGACTTTAAAAATCCTCCAGTTCTCAGAGGATTCATCTTTTAAGAGGGTCCGGTTTTCAGAGTTTTTACTGTACAGACTTATCCTCGGGACAAGCCTCAAGGGAAAGCTGATGAAAATACCTACAAAAGTAACCCATATATGTTGTTTTTTTCAAGGCAACACAAAAAGGAATTTTACATTTTTGTGTCAAGAAATGCAGACTTAACTAGAAATGTGTCCATAGGACACTGATGCCCCCACTCGCCACTGTTCTGTCAATCTTATGACTCTAGGTCAAATATTTTTTGGACTACATGTGCCACAAGTTGAAAACTAAAGATCAACAAAGGGCCATAATTCTGTTAAATTTGGTAGCAGCAAAAAATCTTTCCTTTACTACCATCTACACATTAAGGTTGTTCATCCCTGGAAGTTTAAGCAAAATCTGCCATCCGGTTTAAGAGGAGTTGCATTCACAAAATTTCTACATAGTATATAGTGAAAAAATCAACAAAGGGCAATAATTCTGTAAAATTTGGTCGCAGCAGAAATTCCTTCCTTTACTACCATCTACACCTTAAGGTTGTTCATCCCTGTAAGTTTAAGCAAAAATCTGCCATCCGGTTTAAGAGGAGTTGCGTTCACAAAATTTCTACATAGTATAGAGTGAAAAAAATCAACAAAGGGCCCATAATTCTGTTAAATTTGGTCGCAGCAAAAATTCCTTCCTTTACTGCCATCTACACATTAAGGTTGTTCATCCCTGGAAGTTTAAGCAAAATCTGCCATCCGGTTTAAGAGGAGTTGCATTCACAAAATTCTACATAGTATATAGTGAAAAAATCAACAAAGGGCCATAATTCTGTAAAATTTGGTCGCAGCAAAAATTCCTTCCTTTACTACCATCTACACCTTAAGGTTGTTCATCCCTGTAAGTTTAAGCAAAAATCTGCCATCCTGTTTAAGAGGAGTTGCCGTTCACAAAATTTCTACATAGTATATAGTGAAAAAATCAACGAAGGGCCATAATTCTGTAAAATTTGGTCGCAGCAAAAAATTCCTTCCTTTACTACCATCTACACCTTAAGGTTGTTCATCCCTGTAAGTTTAAGCAAAATCTGCCATCCGGTTTAAGAGGAGTTGCGTTCACAAAATTTCTACATAGTATCTAGTGAAAAAATCAACCAAGGGCATAATTCTGTTAAATTTGGTCGCAGCGAAAATTCCTTCCTTTACTACCATCTACACATTAAGGTTGTTCATCCCTGTAAGTTTAAGCAAAATCTGCCATCCGGTTTAAGAGGAGTTGCGTTCACAAGATTTCGGGACGTACGGACGGACTGACTGACGGACTGACGGACGGACGGACGGACAAGTGCAACGCTATATGCTCCCACATTGTGGGGGCATAATAAATGTAAAATTGTTCCTTTTTGTCATAGTTTTTTGCTTGCTGTTGATGCTTTTTGTCTTTCAATTTATTATTTACTTAAAAACGGTAGCTTGAAATGAAAACTTTAAATCCCCTAAAATACAGGTCAAAGGCATAATTATACATAAGTTGGGTTGCATATTAAAGAGATTCACTCCATCGGAGACCACAGTAAACCTTTTATCATCGTGTTGACTCAGGTATTCAAAAAGGACTCACCTCAATCTGAAATATAGTGGCCAGCTGACTTTTCCATTGCCTGATGTTTCCTGCAGACAGGGGTGGACTTGGCAACAACTGCCTCATCAACCTGACCTTGTCCATAAATGTTAGGCTCTTCTGTTTCTCTTGGATGATCATATTGTGCTGCCATCCAAGCATCAGTGCCGTTATTGTAGACATTTTGACGTAAACGTTCACTTTAACCGTTGTTTCCCTGAACAAACCACGTCTATGCAGACCTTGGATGGCTTCCCTGGTGTGATTTCCCCCAAGTGTCTCGACTTTGCATGCACCTATTAAGTAAAATTACATTTGTTAAAGATATACTGACTCATACTTCAAGGCGTCAACATAACTAGCCAATATTAGTTAAAGAAAGGATGTAAGAATTTGATACCACTACTGCTGACAGTCCATTAAAATGGGGATTTAATCTATTAAATAGTGATGACAACAAGTACCGAATTAAATACTTGGTTACTATTTATGCTTCCACTTCAGTTCTTAGTAACTTATAACATTTAGTATATCAAACCAAAATCCAAAACCAGTTTTTACACCATTACAAAATCTTGTAAGAGTAATTTCCCTTGTTATTTCAACCTGAGCTGTATAAGCGAATTTATGATTTTCGGCAGTCAACTCCGTGAATTCAAAATAGCGCAAACAGTTGTATAGACCGTCAAAATGGACCTTTCTGCAAAATTTGCTTCCATGTATCTTCCAATTCTGTCTGATACATTTTCAAGTGTAGGACAAAGCCATCCTGGACAAAAATGACAAGGTGGAAAATTACCCTGCCATGAATTTGACCGGGCATAGCAAAGCTCTCCCGTAAAAATAACAGGGTGGACTAAACCACTCCCATGTTACTGACAGGGTGGACATAAGTCCGCCCACAGCACATACATATATATTTGTTGAATACCTTGGTTTTTTCTCTTTGAAATGGACTCAACATATTAAAATTGTAATCATGAATATTTATGTTTGCCATTAGCATAAGCATGTTTGCATAGCTTGAGCACACTTATACCATATTCTAGAACATTCTTGACAGGCATTATATGTATATCTATCTGCAAGTGCATATTTATTCACGTAAATATATAGGGATTACTTCCATATGAAGTTAAGATTAACAGAGTTAACAATGATGAAAAGAAGGTTAAATTAACTAAAATTAAAAGTCTGAAATGTTTATAATGTGTCTGTAACAAGTCCATGACTTTAAAAAAAAAAGTTATTCGATTGATTCCGTGAAAAAATATTGTGACTTCAAAATTGCTTTAAAATTTGCTCATGTGATGGCTTCTTCTTTGCCCTCTCGCCCTTCTAGCTCAAGGCCTGGTATTTAGTCTGACACAAGTATAGATAGACCACTTAGAACAGCAAAATGCAATATTTTAATGTCATGATTTAAAATTTGACAGCTTCTCTGACCATAAATAATGATTTGGTTAAATATGATTTCTTAATGAAAATCAATGATGCTTGAAAAAGTAAAACAAAAATTGGTTACAATCCAGTATGTTTATTGCTATGACTAATTACATCATTTTGTGCAGGTATCCCAATAAATCAAATAGTCTTTAAGAGGCAATCAAAAGTATCTTTAAAGTGACCGCATGGCCGAGTGGTTAATGCTTTGGACTAGTAATCTTATTATCGCTAGCCTTATGGGTTCAAACCCCATTGTTCCCTTGAGCAAGAAACTTTACACTCATTGCTCAGTACTGGTTAGTTCCAGGAACGGATTTGAAAGTGTGTTTATAAGCTTAGAACTTCCTACACAATTGAACTAAAATAAATTCTGTATAAACCAAAAGTATCTTTAACAGAAATAAAACTGGATAAGAGTCACACAAGTTAACACTTTAGATATGATTATTACCTTTCTCTTTCAATGAATCCACAGTGACATCTGATGGCACCATTCCCACAAGGATAGCAACTTGTCCATTGGATCCATTTTGGAATGAATCTGATAAACTTTTAACATGATCCATGTCCAATAATCTAGTTGCCCTACTGGCACAAGGAGGAACCAAATTTTCAATATGAACATCGCAAGTCCCTGAAATGGTTTAAAATCATCTTTTTAAAACCAGAGCATCCTTTTGTATATATAATATCTAGTAGGGCTGTCATTGATGGAAAAGTTTATGATCGATATATCAAGAGACAAATATCAACGAGATATCGAAATCACAGTAGATAGAATGAAAAACATTTAAATAATAAATTGGTATCTCGGTGTTATGCATGCTTGTATTAGACATTACAAATACTACAAACTAACAGAAAAGTTTGTTTTGCCTGTAATTTTTGTCGTTGACATTTGAAAACAGAGTTTAAAGTTCAAATAAGCCAAGAAAACTATAAAAAAGGTGACTTCTCTTATAGGAAAAAAAATGTATATTCACTAACAGAAATAAGCTTGTATCAATATATGAAATTGTGTTTTGGTAATGTAAGGGATGATATATATCGATGATATATAGATATTGCAATATTCATTTACAGTCCTATTATCTAGAGGGGATAAGCAAATACTTGAGCTACCAATGAATCCTTTAAAGTTTCATTGAAAATAAAAAGAGTAGTCTGGGTATTAATTTTAACACATTTTTCATTCAAGGGCCTTTACTCAGTCAAATCATTCAAGCGGTAAACCTTAGTAATATGCCCAAGCAGTAAGGCTATCGATCAATCCCACTGAAATTGCATTAGTAGTATAAGAGCTGCCAGACAAACATCAAAAATAAATTATTAAATGGGCCATTACTGACCAAAATTATGAACTGGAAAATGCTGACATATTACAAAACTAAGACTTTGTACTGATTATTCAAATAATAGCATTCAGCTAACAATTCACAGGAGCAAAATGATTGTTTCTACCCAATTATATGAAATATGTATAAAAATAATACCCTTCCCATTTTAAAATGACTGTTTGACCATTTTCCTACTCAAAGTGTCTTATTCTAAAAATCCATAAAATTTACCAAAATAAGGGGTTGTCACAAAGTTTCCCTAAATTTCCTCAAAAGTATATTGGTTGATGGATCTTGTAAAATATTAAACGCTTTTACCAAATAGTTTTGATTTCATTAGACTTTAAAAATATCAGGTGCCAATTTTGTGACAAGATTTAGCATTATTTAGCCTATGTTCATTATATAGTTAAAATTTACACTTTTCCTTTCCAAAAGGGATAGGACAGATACATAAATAAAGTTAAAAGTTACAAAGAACCTGCTGCCTTATGTTTCAATGCATTTAACAGTAATTTTAGCTTATTGTAATACTCATCAAACATAATGCATAAGGATGATCATACTAAATATAATAATGAATGCCAGTTGACTTATAATTCTCTTATCCTAACCACTTAAATGGATAAACATATATACACATACCTAGAAAACATTCTTGTGCTTCTCCGTAATTGACACCTAAAATAAAAACAACATGAAATATTAAGCATAACACAGCACATGGATAACTATTTGAGTCCCCTGTTTACAAAAACAAAGTTTTAAACAAATATATTGATATGATCTATTTGTTTATTTTAACATATTTTTTGTCAATTCACAGTTGCTCCATCTAACTGGGTTTGAGGCACAATTCACATTAGACACTGTCACACATAAAATTCACCTTGCAACCCAAGCCTGATGACTAATCTAGCATTGGTACATGTAACTGAAATACTAGTCTGACATGCAACAAAATTAAATCCATATCTACTTTCAAGAATGCCATTAAAACATGTGGGATCATATAACTACAGTTTGTAGTTTTGATGCATGGGAATTGCTTTTTTGTAGGCCTGATTGGTTAGTTATTTACAATCAAACAACAAATCAGTGTAAAATAATTGAAAAAGACCACTCTGACAGATGTTATTTTAACTTCCTTAAACATGACCCTAAAAAAAGGGAGGTCAATGACCTACTTTTTCAAGCCAAGATAATTTTGGTTGCCCATTGTCTCTATTCTATTTCTCACCCTATTATCACCTTACTGCCTTAAAGATAACAAACAAATGGAAAAATATCAAACAAGATTGAATTTATGGAACAATGCTATGCCACTGCAATATACAACACTTATTTTAAGTTAATAATGTCTATGTTCATGATGAACATTTGATAAGTGTAGTGCTAAAATATCAAAACATGTTTTCTAAAAATAAAATTCAGCATTAAGTTATAGTCACAGAGTTTTCTAAAAAAAATGCTACCTTTAAAATTCTGATCACTATTACTTCCGAATGAATCTTCTGTTCCACATGACAACGTTTCACCAGCTACTGAAAAAAGAAACAACATGTTTAAATCTCCCAAGCAAAAACAATTATTTATCTGAGGTAAACACCTTAAATGGTTTCAGACATACTAAATAAATATACTGAAATATACTTGGTTTTGCACGATAATCAAAATATTAAGGTGGCATAATAGAACATAAGTATATATTTGAAAGGTAAATTTGTAATGCATTTAATATCATGTGAAAATCATTTTCATTTTTTCAGTATCTCAATTTTGTAACACAATATTCTGTACCCAAACCAAAAGTTACAAGTAAAACATCTTGTGTTCTTGGAAATAACTTGTAATTTTCTATTGCACAAAAAGGACATTAATGATCTGATGCCTAGTGGTCAATCACATCCAAATATGTAGATGCTTTTCTTTTAAAAATTATATGCATTTGACTTATCCGAAACAGAGGTTCGAATAGGAATTTGCAACATTTTGGTTTAAGTGGAAGTCAAGTCAACACTTTATAGGTAATAGTTTAAAAAAATCTATTTGTAAATATTTACATTTTTTTAACTTACACCAAAGGAACTTTGGTGATCCTGTAAACTGCCTTTAATATTCATTATATTCTAATCTATACTATAACTTCCATAGAAAATAGCATAAAAGAGAACAATTGTCGTACAAAGCTTAGATCAATGACTTATGTAAAAATTTTCTTAAAATAAAACCAAAGATAATTATGTAATGATACAGATAATTAATCGAATTATAACACTTATAAATACATTTTTGTTATATTTATTTCTAAAAGTTAGAGAAAAAAACATTACAGTTAAACAAATTTTATTGTACAATAACTTTTATTTCATCAGAAATCTAGGAGCAGACACTGATGCCTCAGGACAAGTATGGTTAGCTCTCAAAAATGTTAGATGAAATGTTAAAACAGTGCAGGTACATCATGATATAGTTCGATTTGTAAAATTAACACTGAATGTGTACAGCACCATCATGTAACGGAAATATTTTCTAAAATGCAGCAAGATAAACTTTTTAATAATTCTCTTAGTTTATTCAAAGATGGCATAAAATACCTTGACAGTTCTCATCTCCACTACTTTGATAAGACTCTTCTGTTCCACTTGACATGTCGCCATCTACTGCAAACAAAAATAAATGTTTAAAAGCTTTGAACAAAACAAACAAAAAAATCTTAATTTAATTCCGGAAGTGCTAGGTTTTAGTTACACTGAATTAATATAGATTTCAGTACCTAGTTTAGAATTATTTAATCAAGACCTGTCAGCAGAGAGCAAGCTCCACTTTGTTGGGTTTTTTTTCAGACTAAATGCCATTAATAAATGGTGTTCCATGTTGTAAGTGAACATGTATACCAAGTTTGAGATAAATAAACTAAGCAAAATGAAACAGGCAAAAAATTTAACATAATGGATAAACAGGGAAACAATCTAAGGTGAACAAGAGCCATGTCAACATGGCCATCCCCCGCCGAATGTGTTTGCTCATTGGAAGAATGTATATGTAGTAGAGCAGAATAATTCCATTTTAAGAGGTCTTTTGGTAATGAAAACTGATGGCTATAGTGATTAAAGATTTGAAACCTATGTGAATACTGATGGCTGAAAATCACAAAGGGCAATAACTGAAAAATAATGCAGGGTAGGTTATCATTCTTGTGTGCTGCATCCCTCCACAGTAAAATCTATCCACCTATGAAATTTCAAGTTGATACCTCCAACACTTTTGAGGAAAAAATTGAATTGAAAAATTAAGTATTAAAAATAACAATGGGCAATTACTCAAAAATTATGAAAGGTAGAGCAGGGCTTCCACTAAGTTCCAAAATTTGGAAGTCAGACACTGCAAAATCTCTGATATTGGAAGTCACATTATATAGGTAAAGAAGGAAAAGTATTAGATTTTGGAAGTCACAAGCCAAAATCAGGGAGTAAATGACTCCCAAACTTCCATTAGTGGAAGCCCTGGTAGAGTTATCATTCTTGTGCACTGCACACCTCCTGAGTTAGATCTATGCACATATGAAGTTTCATGTTGATATCTCAAAGGCCTTTTGAGTTATGCTCTGGACAAAACTTAATTTTGAAAAATATAACAAAGGGCAATAACTAAACAATTATGCATGGTAGAGTTATCATTCTTGTGCACTGCACTCCTCCTCAATGAGATCCATCCACCTATGAAGTTCAAGTTGATACCTCAAATACTTTTTGAGATAAGCTCCGGACAAAACAGTATGAAATAGAACAAAGGGCAATAACTCAAAAATTGTATAGGGAAGAGTTATCATTCTTGTGCACAGCATTCCTCCTCAATAAGACCTATCCACCTATGACATTTCATGTTGACATCTCAAACACTTTTGAGTTATGCTCCACTCAGGTGAAAAATTAAGTATGAAAAATAACAAAGGGCAATAACTCAAAAATTATGAAAGGTAGAGTTATTATTCTTATGCACTGCACACTTCCTGGGTGAGATCTATGCACCTATGAAGTTTCATGTTGATATCTCAAACGCTTTTTGAGTTATGCTCTGGACAAAACTTAATTTTGAAAAATAACAAAGGGCAATTACTCAAAAATTATGCATGGTAGAGTTATCATTCTTGTGCACTGCACTCCTCCTCAATGAGTTCTATCCACCTATGAAATATCAAGTTGATAACTCAAATACTTTTGAGATATGCTCCGGACAAAAATGTCTGACGGAAGGACAGTAATTATGTGGCTACTCTATTGTTCTCTCTATTGTTCTTTTTAGCCACGCAAAAGAAAATAGCCACATAAAAGCATTACGGAATGAATGACATCAAAGAGAACCTTTTGTCCCTCTAGCCACATAATTACTCTCCTGTGAGTGCGGACAAACAGACAGAAGGTCGGATGGACGGACTGAGACTATTACTATATCCCTGCCCCCTTTACAGCGGGGGATAAAAGGGGGTGTTACTTTTCTAAATTATTTTTGAT